GAAGGAGTGGCTTTACAACAACTCTGTGACTGTTCTTGAATGGCCCAGCCAGAGCCCTGACTTAAACCCCATTGAGCATCTCTGGAGAGACCTGAAAATGGCTGTCCACCAACGTTTACCATCCAACCTGACAGCACTGGAGAGGATCTGCAAGGAGGAATGGCAGAGGATCCCCAAATGCAGGTGTGAAAACTTGTTGCATCATTCCCAAAAAGACTCATGGCTGTATTAGCTCAAAAGGGTGCTTCTACTAAATACTGAGCAAAGGGTCTGAATACTTATGACCATGTGATATTTCAGTTTTTCTTTTTTAATAAATCTGCAAAAATGTCAAAAATTCTGTGTTTTTCTGTCAATATGGGGTGCTGTGTGTACATTAATGAGGAAAAAAAATGAACTTAAATGATTTTAGCATATGGCTGCAATATAACATAAGAAAGAGTGAAAAATTTAAGGGGGTCTGAATACTTTCCGTACCCACTGTATATGTCACATTGTTCCACTGAGCCTTCAGGGTGTTTAATAATAAACTATGCTGTATGAGCGTCATTTAGACTGATGGAGTACTACACTAAGAGGATCAAAGCAGGTGTAAGAAATCCACTGCTATCTAAACACCTACCTCTCACTGAGCCTGATGAAGAATGAGACCACGAGATGGGAGGGAGGTCTGCATGTGTCAGCAATTCCAATTGCATTTATGTGTGTTTATATTATCAGTGACTGTGGTGGCTTATCTAATCTCTGTTGGCTGGTTTTGTAGTGCTGTCAGACTCTTGTCCAACAGGCACACTTTGTGACATGTTGGTGTGTGGGTGTGTGTGTGTGTGTGTGTGTGTGTATAAGCCAGATGTAGGGCTCAGAGGGAGTCAGGCTAATAGAATTCATGAGAATACCTGTAGTCCTTAAATGGAACTACTGTTTCCCACTTAAATGCTGCACACTTTGGTTGCTCCATCCAACTGTCAGTTTTTTATTTAACTTCTTTCATGTGGCTACAGCTAGACCTGACTTTTTAAAGTGTGATATGATCCCACTGCTATTGGATCTAAAAATGCATATGGTCTCATATACCATGTTCCCTCTCTGTCTTTTTATCCATGGGTTTTCTGGTTACCCTCTATATCTTCCAGTCTAACTTTTGTTTTCTCTCTTTTCTGGTTTTTATTCATTAGTCATCATCTTCCAGTAAGTCTGTCTCATTGACTAACTGCTCGTAAAAGACTGTAACCTCTTGTATAATTATTTGGTTTGTGAAGTGAGTCCTGGTATTCAGCAATCTATCTGTATAGTGTCTGTCTCTTAATCTTGTTGCTACTGATTTTTCACATTTTTAAGGAACATTTTGTCAGAAATGTATTCAACATAAATCATTTTATGTTCAGAATACACTGAAAGTAGCTGAGCAATAAAACTGTCAACTAAGAAATACAGTAGCACACTGGCACTGATTATTATACATTCAGTGCAGTGAATATCACACTACATGGAATGACAGTGGGTATAAAACTAAACTTCACAACCAGGTTTCTGCAATTAACAGGTACATCAGTGTGTATTTGTGTTTCTTTCTCCTTACAACGTGCATTGCGGTACAGCAGGAAGGGGTCCTGGAGCTGGAAGTCCAGGTCTTTAGTGATAGGCTCTGTCAGATTCTCCATGCTGAGTCTGTTCATGATGGTGAAGCCATGCCTGGGAGATGCCAGCCTGAAATACACAGAGGATGTGAATATAATTCTTGCAATGGAAAAAGGAAAAAAAAATTAAATCAGCTATGAACTGCCCTATCACAATGACCATTATCAGGTTAGCCTAAAAGCGAGATACTGATTATGCTTAAGAAGACAAAACCCATTCTGAATTTCAAGTAATTTCTTGTATTTGCCAAAATCAAACTTATTCACAAAGGATGTCACAATTTATATCAAACTTTTGCAATAACGTCGTTACCTTGTGTAGATGAAAAGAGTGCCTTCTACTTCTGTCTTCTCCTGGGAAAAAAAAAAATTAACGCCAAAGTAAGAGGGCACGCCAGCATGTCTTTATTGGGCAACCTTATCTCTATTGGAACTAATATGTCACTTCACTATTACCTGAAAACCTGCCAGGCTGCCTACATGTTGGACAGGTCCCACTAGTCAAACTCTCCAAAAAGGCCGTAAGTATAGCACATCTGACTCAGGAAGAAGTTTTAGTATGACTTGTGATTTCTGCTAAGGGGTTTGCACTCATATACTGTATACGTTGCTGTCTAGTGGTGTTATATTACATGACACGGAATAAATAAGAATGACCATTTTATAAAATAATTCGTTTAACGTTAGACTCTATACAATGACAGCTATAAAGGACTAAGTTACTGCTATAACGCTGACTTTAGACAGAGTACATCTGTCCTTGACAAAACGCGTCTACCAAGACATCGCTAAGCTAAGTTAGTTAGCACACACTATCCTTAAACAAAGTTCAGACTTACCCACTCATTTGCCCTGTTGTTATAAGTATACAGAGCCACTTGGCTGGCAACGTCCACAATGTTATTGATATATGGGTCTTGTCGCTGTAGAGCTGCCAGACTTATGTCCAGTCCTTTAGCGGCAAGACAGCTACTGCTACCCGCAGAACTCGCCGTCATTGTTCCTTATGGAGAAATTAGCTTGCTACCTAGCTTCAGCGGCTAACGACACACACAAAGATTAGGTAAAGACTAGTCCAGCGACACGAAAAACAAGACAATTAAATCGGAACCTGCACAGTAGGTGCAAATTAAGACCTGAGAATTTAAAAGTGTCAATACTTATTGAGCTCTAACCGCCATAAGAGACTTTGTTAGCGGCCATATTTGGCCCAAAAAATGTAAACAAACAGACGTGAGAAGTTGCGCAGCAGGATTGGAGATTTCAGTCTGATCAATCAACTTGGAAAAATCGACTGCTCTAAACTCAACTACATGGATGTTCAGTATTAGTTTATTATTATTATCTACTTGTAATGTCAGGAGAAACATTTTAACTTTAATATTTTAACTTACATTATTAAATGAGTACTGGTCTCAAGTGGGTTTATTTGCCATTGGAATATGTTTTGTTTCTATTTTCTTTTCATATTTACACACATGAATGGGATAAAATCCTCCGCATAAGCAGTACAAACATTTTGGAAAACTGTAAGTGTATGTAAAGCTATAGCATTTTGCTGTGCATTGAGGAGTCCCTTAGTATTGTAAAAAAAAAGAAAGCTGTAATGTTTGATTCTAATTTAGCTTTGTGGCCCTGTCACTTCTTCTTATACACTTAAGCAGCTGACATTTGTTTTTGTCTTTTATCTTTTTATATATCCGACTGACAGGCAACATAAACACTGATGATGACTGATGTCTCCCAATCCACAGTTACATTTTCCAACAAATGCACTAGAGGGCATCAAAGGGATGGATTAAACACAGTCATCCCTCTCCTAACTTTGGAGTTCATCTGAAAGCCAAGCAAGAATGCATGAAGCTATGAAAGAGCGAGTTACAACATGAGACACACACTTTCAGTAGAAACCAATACAAATTCATTTCTATTAATTTAGTGTGGTCCATTTCCCTGCAAAGACAAATTTCTGGATTTTTCACAGGCCAAGGCCAGGATATATTTTTCTTCCTTTTCAGAATGCTTTTATTTGTTTTGAGTGACTGAGGTTGCTTTCCAGCTTTTTCTAAATAGATGTAGTATTTCTTTAGATGGCTTTTAGCAGGCCTGTTCATGAGCCATGTTAACATAATTTTTAGCATATTCCAAAAATAGATAGTTACAGTATAATAGGGAAATTTGTTCTCTTGGCTGCATTTCCTGCATGTGAAATGGTTCAAAGTAGCATTTTTCTGGTTTTTCATTGTCACCTTTAACAGTGCTGCGGTGCTTGTGTGTTTATACTGCTGTGTAAAGAAATCTATTCCTCTTGTACTGATTTTTGTGTTGATGCAGTAATTTGTGTTAAATATAGAAGTAAGATATATGCTTCCTGTCTGGAAAGAGAATACTCAAGGACAGAGCAGGAACTAATACAAGAAGATGACTTTCAGAATTATAAATTTTTAAATTCCATATCTACCGTATGGTATGGGTATCCATGTCACACAATATCAGTGGGATCACCAGACAGTGAATCTCCATATTCAGTTCAACATACCCTGTTCTGTTACAAGGGTACTTTAGGGGACATAGCCTCCTCTTCAAGTGGATATAGACAAGCCTTGTCATTTGGTACGCATCTGATAATAGATTATTTTTTGTAATCACCAAGGCTGTTAGACTTACAAGCACTGCTAAAGACAATAGATCAAACTGGATGTACATTTCTCTTTTGTCTCTAAATGATCCCTATTTGCCATTATACATGTATACAAAATAGACCCTCCTTCTGTCCTCCATAGTGTACTATAACAGTTGTTTTTGTAATTAAATGTATATTTTGACAATTTGGAGATGTACAACAGCTGATGTGCATTCATCAACAGCCATTGTGAATGTTCTTGAGAAAAAAACACTATGAACATTCAGCTGATCACTCAGTTTAAGTGGAAACATTGGTATGCCACTGTTATCCACAATGTCTCACTGTAAACATAAATGATGCACTTCCAGGACAGGCTATGACACATCTACCTCTTCATTAACATAAAAATAGCTCCCTTGTAATTCCGGATGGGCCTATTTGTTTACTGCAAGAATGTTTGTTATACTGTCAGCATGGCAATATAGGTCATATGTATGTTTCGAGGTACAGTATATAAATTTATTTGGCAGTTTATTAGGTAGACCAGGCTAAAACTAATGCAGCCTAATAAAACAGTCCTGCAAGAAGTTAATTTTCTTGAAGGCAATACTGATGACTTTTTGTTGAAATTGCTTTGCAAGAGACTGTACTATACTGTAGGTGTACCTAATAAACTGGCAATTGAGTGTATGCCTATTGGCCAGAGGGGTTATCTATTTGTTTGTCAAGGAGTGTGTGTCTGACAATGATGAGGTTAACATTTATCCATCAGCAGGTCAATAGTGTCATTAACAATTCAGTCAAGACTGAGTGCTTGACTCTGATTAGTAGGGCTGCTGGTTATTGACCCTGAGGCAGGAGAGGTAAGGAGATGTAGCTTGTCAAAATTTAACAAAAGGAGGGTAGACAATGTTCAAGGCGATGGCCATTGTAATTTGTGTTTCCACATTGGAAAAAATACCCATCTGCAGACATTTTTTAAAACAGTCACTGTGCAACCTTTCCACTATGGGGGATTTTGCAGCCTGGAGAATATTAGTTGGAATAATTTGCCCTACATTAAAATAACGCAAGGGGCTGCATTGATGGGGGTGTGTTGTCATAAGGCCCTTGGTTTCTTCTGCCAATAGTGTGGCATATGAGGCTCCTCTGGATGAAGCAAGAAATCAAAACTTGTACCATACATGCCAAACTGCACAGGGAAGTAGTGTTCAGATGACCAACGACCCTAAATAACATACCAGTACAATTTAAGATGTAGATTTACTTCATTAAATATTTGTTCAAAACTAAACAACATAAACTATACATTTCATAAAAATGCAAGACCTAAAATATTTTTCTTTACCTCTTAGTGTTCTACAAAATGTTTCAGTTTTGTTGATTTCTCTTGAATTTCCTCTTATCCCTGTAATCTTTATTTTCATTGCTTATTAATTTTGTGGTAGAGAGAGATTAAGTATATTATGCAAATGCCAGTGCTCAAAAAGTACATTGAATAACTTTGTAAAATCAGGATTTTAATATTTGTAGTTTTAAATATAAAATTAACCCGCCTAAAAGATTCATATTATAAGCATGAATATTATTTTTAGGAGGAAATGTCAATAAATTAAGGTCTAAAAGCCAAATATCCCATTGTTCAGCTAAATGAAATAGCTCGTCTATCATGAGGGGATTCCCCTTTGGCTGACCAGCAGATAGTTGGTGTCCCACATGGGACACCAACAGTTGTGTATTTGTCTGTACAGAGATTCTCAGAGACCAGTTCCCTCACACACATATGAAGGGGTCAGGAACCAAAAATATCATACAGTAATACAATTGATATTCCATATTCAGGCTGGAATACTGAGGACTCTTTTGTTTGTGTGTCTATTTGTATGTCCCCTGGGCACTAGTGTCTATTCCCATGACCTGCCCTCCATCAGTTTTACATTCTTTCTCTTTTACTTCTATCTATCCTTCCTTTCACTGGCCAGCGTAATTAAAAGTTAGTTTGGCATGGAAGTCAAGGGGAGATTCATTCTGCCACTATACTACACACTGTCCATCTGTCTCACTACTACCACAGGGATAATCTGTCAGTCGTCTGCACTGGTGGAGAGTCACTAAGTAGGCATACTGTACTGAAGTACAATTTTGAAGTTTGTACTTTGCTTGAGGAGCTCCATTTTGTATATGTTACTACATTTCACAAGAATAAAAAAAACTACAGTAGGCGATATTTATCTGTAAATAATAAGATTTAGGGCTAGATTTTTAGACAATAGTATAAATATTTATTTGAGATCCACAGTGGTCAAATTATCCTTTATATAATAAAAGACTATTATATATAAGAAAGTCACTTTCGGCTTTTCCCGTTTAGGGGTCGCCACAGTGAATCGTCACACTGACAACTCACATGTTGACATTTGGCACGTGTTTTATGCCGGATGCCCTTCCTGACGCAACCCTGATTCGAACCCGGGCCGCAGCGGCAAGAGCGCTGTACCTTAACCAGTAACCTACCAGGGACGGCTTTAAAAGACTATTATATATACATATTAAAAATACTAATTTGTATCCTCAAGCATATTTGTTTCTTTCTATCACATTAATAATCTCGCAAGCTTCAGATCTGTCTTGTCATCCATTGTGGGCCCAGTCCGCTAGCTCGTTGCACATTCACAGAGAGACCACACTTGCACAGTTGACTCTTGCGTAGGTGCTTCAGATGCTGTAAAAACTTATGAGCATTTGTAGATACCATAAACGTATACTGACCAGCCACTTTAATGGGCACACCTGTACAATTCTATGCACTTCAATCCATCTGGTTGGGTGAGAGGACAAAAATCACTGACCAGAACTCCCATAACATCTGTGTTTATGAAACTCAAAATGTTTCAGTTTTTGGTGAAATGTTCATAATTGTAGAAACTCAATTGAATGTTTATTACTGATATCATAGTTAACAGTGGTCTTGCACTAAATTACATTATATTCAGAGGTGTTCCTATTATTCTGACCCTCTTCTGTATGTAGTTGGGGCAGACAAAAATATAGACACCTCTGAATATAATGTACAGTAGTCCAGTACAACACCACCTTTAACTATGAATCTGGTTTTTTAAGATGCATGCCAACAAGGGAGCACCCTTTTCTGGGTGCTTGGACACAGGCGTTCGGCCTGTCAGAGCAGGAGGATGCACGCCGGCGTAGGATGATGAAACTGTGGCAGAGCCTCA